GACGGCGACGCCGCGGGAGTTTCTGAGGTTGATTTCTCTGTAGCGGTTTGTGCCGGAGACGGCGGTTCTGAGAGGCAGGAGAAAGTAGTCGAACCTTTTGTTGGTGGTACGTACGGCTTGTCGGAAAGCATTCAGCTCTGAGGCGTACGTGTTTATGTTTGTGGTGAAGGTGATCTCGCGCTGGCCCTCCGCTGTGTGCGGAGCGGCTACGAGGATGATGGCGAGGAGTAGGCAACAAAGGGTTGAGTTGGAGTAGCTCATGTTTTCGAAACTTGGGTTGGATTGGATTGGATGCCGTTGGAACATCTCAAGGATGTGCTTTTTATAGCCACCATTTTCTTCATGACACTGTAATATGTGGTCCATGGTTGTAATCGGGAGTGTCAACAGCCATCCAACACTGTAACCGGTGTTGCGATATTCATCTGGGGGAAGTCCCGACTATGCACCCCGCAGGCTTGAACCAAGGAGGGGTATTCCCATTCATCTAGAGTTTCATCTCGAAACTAATTGATAATGAACGTAGTAGTCCACTCATATTATGAATCCTTGTTAGGTCCCTCATCTTTTTAAGGTGAAATCGTTAACAAATGTTGTGAGAAAAGTTCAATTTATATGTGGTGGGTCGATTTTAAACATAAGCTTTCAATTTAAAGTGATTGGATAGAGGAGAAATTAATGTTTTAGCTTTGCACTATAAAATATTTGTTTATAAATGATAAATGGTGAATATTATCAATATTCATAGAGTTTCATCTCGAACCCAATTTACAATGAGAGAAGTAGCTCACTTATATTATGAACTATTGTTAGATCTATTATTTTTTAAATGTGGGATCGTTAACAAATATGTCGAGAGAAGTTCAAGTTATACAGGGTGGACTTCCAATTTCATGAAATTAAATCCTAAACTTGGACGGGACATTCTTATAGTAGGAGGAAAATATATTGCGAATATTCCTTCTAGATGCTTTTTGATAAATAATATTTTTTGCATTATTTGTTGACAATTAATTAAGTTTTCCAACCTTATTTGTTTCCTTAGGTTTTGTTGTTGGGTTTAGGAATTTCTTTGGCATGAGTTCGAGTGGCTTGTTAATTGAATTTATTTATCATTTATTTGGGTGCCTCACGCTAAATTTTGAGGTCGAATTAATTAAAATGGTTCTTCAAATTTAGAGTTTAAAATTTAAATTGAAGGAAAAAGGAAAGTTTAAGCTTAAAATTAAGTCACCAATGAAGTCAATACGAGACATTCTCGTGTAATCGTTCGGTGAGGTCGGTGGCCAATAGTTAGGCGGTTATCCTAGGACGGATTTTGTATCTTGGCGCAAGGCATTTTCATCAACCAATAGAAGTACGATCGAGTTGTCAGGTCATAATTAGTCGAGCTTCAAATGTTAACCACTTCGTATTTTCGAGAATCTAAAGAAAGATGTAACCTACGGAACCTTTCTAGCTCTCCACTTGCCAAGTGTTATTTTATTCTCCTACATGGCCTCTCCTAAATATATTTGAAATCCTTTTGCCTTCAAATTAATTAATATTTGAAACATTGTGATATGGTTGTCTTTTGCAAAATATTAATCAATGTTTTAAGTTATTTTTTGCTTTTTTTTTTTACTTTAGAAAAATAACATATGAAAATACAATTTTTTAAAACCAATATTAAAATACAATTCGATGTATATCACATGTAAAACTTCTCTCTCTTCACGTGAAAATTAATAGAAGCATGTTGGAGTGGTCCAAATAAAGTAGTTTTCTTACCTTTCATAATATATATTTGCCATCAAATTAAATCCACACCGCAATTTTTGATTTTTTGTAATAATTGTACYACGTTTTTGTCTTTTTACTTGATCATTGAACTTAAAATTAATTTTGCTTTCTAACTCCTACAACAACCGATTTCTACCTATATTTCACAATGGTATGTTTATACATTACGAGCATGAGACGTAATTTTAATTTTTGTTTCATTTAAAAATGTATCATATTATATGAAAATAAGTTATGTCTTTACTTATATATTCGTGATCTTCCTCTTATTTAATCGATATTAAACTTTAGGCACCTCATTTCCAACATTAAATTATCCCACCCACATAAATATCATATGYCTATCATGTGAAGATTAGTTACACTTAGGTCCAATGATTCCAAAGAAAATTTTAGATTGCTAAAAGCCATTTCTAAAGTGTTTATAAAATATTAATTTCTTAATACYTTTATATTTAATTTTTAATGTAATATCCTTGCCCTTTCACTACTGTTTCTTTGACATCTTGAATCACGTTCACAAAATTGTTCTTTTCTCTTTTTTCTTTAATTTTTAAAATAGACCATCTAACACGTTTTTTTTTTCTTTTTTTCTTTTTTTCTTTCAAATATCTTCCCACACGTTTTCTTTCTTTTTTTTTTTCTTTCAAATATCTTCCCCTCTCGTCTTATCCTATTCTCTAGTGAAGTCCATCTCCTCTGGCTCTTTCTTTCTATTAAAATCTCACGTTARGAAGATAAGACATAACAATCATTTTTATAATATAAGAGAAATACTTCTCTCGTTATCSATTTGTTTTGAAATATAATTACAAGAATATTGATATCAAATTAACATTCAATCTAAGAAATAKGAGTCGACCAAGATTTTGATGAACCAAACGAGACACCATCTTGAAGGAGCATCATCCTTTCGATTCTCCAACGAAGGTCCATCTTCTCCACCTCTCTCTCCATCCATGAGTTGAACTTGTGGTGTGCCCTCTCAGCCGCTCCTACCTCTTTTCCTCCTACTCAACCGCCTTACTCCTTTCCTCTCTCCAACGAGTTAGAGACTCACAGCCAGYGACATCTTTGATCAAATGATTAACATACATATCTCTAATAAAAAGGTTGTGAGTTAGAATCTTCACTCTCATATATTATTGTACTAAAAAAGTGAAGTGARTTTAAACTTACAATAGGGAGTAAACTAATGTTTGACCCATCTTAACTATTTGGTGGTGGGACCAAAGTTCTATATTGCTTGGGTAAGATAAAGATGCATAGCATATTATGGAAGGACAACTAACTTTGTAATATTTTTTTCGTGAAACCAGAGGAAAAGTCATAAGACCTTCTACATAAAATAAATAATATCATATAATTGTAGAAATATGACATATATTGTCCTAAACATTAGTAAACTCAATACACACAGTAGAATAACGTACGAAGTAAAATTGTCCCAAAGACCTATTTTCTCGGTATACTATAGAAACACATTATTAATATAGCATACGGGTAATCACCTAGATATAATAACATGGTGGTTTGAAAACTATTCTCAATCTCACAAACTATTCAAAAATTCTTCTTTCTAAGAACTTTTCTTTCCCAAACAACTTCTAAAATGTTTCTTTCTATCTTTCTCCAACCTTTCTTTTTTAGAACACTTCATACAATTTTATTTCTCAAACTAGTTATCAAATCTTAGTTTCATAAAAATTCTGAAATAATTTCTGAAATCTCTCGATCTTAATAACATTTCATATAAAAGTTTCCCAAATTCTTTTTGAAATCTTTSTTTCTAATTAAAATCTTTGTACCATTCACAAAAGACATGAAAGATTTCTAATTCTTATTAAATGCAATTATCCTCGAATCCTTTCTAAAGTATTTCTTTCTAACAACATTCAACAAAATTCAAACATTTCTTTGAAATCATAAAGTATTTGRAAATTCTCAGAAGCATTTCTAAATTTCTAAAGTCTCAGACAAACGCATTTTATTTCGTTCGAATTTGAACATTTCTTAAACTTCAAATATTTTTCTAAATCRTASAACATTCCTCTAAATTATAAAACAATTTCTAAAATCTCAAACAATGAGAGTTATTTTCATTCTCATTCTTAGTAGAAATAMTCTACATATATCATATATATAATTTCTCGAAATTCTATARTAGTAAATATCTAAAAACATTCATCAAAATAACCACTCATAGATCCTTTAAACTCGGTCATCCTTTGCTGTAATTTCTGTCTAACCTGAAACATCGATTCAATACCAAATTAACCCACTTAATTCCAACATAAACTTTATTCAAACTTAAACCACARCATCTTCGAATAAAACCAATTATTCAATTTCACAATATATTCTCCCTCTTCATTTAAAACCCACTTTTTTTCTCTTTCATATTACTTACAAATGGGTCCCACCCTAATCCAATCAATTTCTGTTTCTCCCCCTCCATCTCAGGTAATACACCTTTACTTTTACCCAACTACTTTTCATTTTCTCCCCCTCCATCTCAGGTAATATCTTCTTCTTTCTTCTCCATTAAAACCCAGGGTTTTACCTCTTTCTTCTTCATTTCTCCATCCCCAAATCTCTCTGTCTTCACTTTCTTCCAGTCTACCACTTCTTCTAACCACCACAAATTCCTTTTAATTGTTGCAACAAACCACAAATTAACCATTAACGGTTCTATTCCATCTAGTAAAAGGGTAAAAATATTTCTTTTCTCCCAAGCAATTCATTGAACATATCATGAAAAACTCCCAAAAACAAGGGATTATTAAGGGAAGAGAACCAAAAAATTTACAGAATTTCTCAAAGAATAAAACACATAAATCTTCACGTTAAGGAATTCTATAACCTATGGTTTCTCTTAATTGGTTTTCATAAAAAGCTTACCAAGTTTCAAATCCAGAAATCAGCATTGAACTT